TCGCCATCATCACCACCATGAGAACCATGAGAACCATGAGCACCATCACACATCAAAACCATCATCGCCATCATCATCAACATCATCATGATCATCATCAGCATGAGCATCAGCAGCATCATCATCGTCATCCGAATCAGCATTTTTACCAGCAGCCGCATCATCAGCAGAATCAGCATGCTCGACGGCATCACAATAATCAGAGTGATCAGCATCGCCATCAGGATCAGCATCACCAGCGGCATCAGCATCATCAGCACCATCAGCAGCACGATCGTCATCATAATCACCACCGCTATCACAACCATAAGCATCGTCATCATCATCACCATCATAATCAGTATCATTATCATCATCATCATCATCATCATCATCATCATCATCATCAGTATCATCATCACGGTCATTATCACACATCATCAGCAGCATGCTTATCATCACCCGCATGATCAGCAGCATCATCATCATCATCATCGCCGTCATCGGCAGCATCATCATCAGCCGTAGCGTCTTCATCCGCAGCATCATCAGCGGCAGCATCATCAGAATCAGCAGCAGCATCGGAATCATCACCGTAAGCATCATCATCAGCACCATCAGCATCATCAGCATCAGCAGAGCAGCATCAGCAGCATCAGCAGCATCATCCGTATCGCCATCATCATCATCACCATCATCATCATCATCATCATCATCATCATCATCATAGTCATCATCATCATCAATATTAAAAGCAACGTCACTGCCGTCACCATCATCAACAACATCAACGTCATCATCATCATCATCAGCAGCAGCATACTTATACGCATAATCATTCACATAATCATCCTCCACATCATCATCATCATCATCATCATCATCATCATCATCATCATCGTCATCATCATCATCATCATCATCAGCATCAGCATCAGCATCATCACAACAACCATCAGCAGCATCATCATCGCGATTACCACCAGAATCATCATCATCATCAGCATCGTCGTCGCAATCATCATCATCATCAGCATCATCATCATCAGACTCATCGTCTTCAGCCGCATCATGATCAGCCGCAACATCATCAGCATCAGCAGCAGCAGCATCGGAATCATCACTGAAAGCATCATCGCCATCATTATCAGCATCAGCAGCATCAGCAGCATCCGCATCATCATCAGTATCGCCATCATCAGCATCATCACCATCATCATCATCATCATCATCAGTAGTACAGACATCGTCACTGTCGTCATCATCATCAACCACAGCATCAACGTCGTCATCATCCTCATCATCGTCATCACCAGCATCATCATTATACGCATAATCATTCACATAATCATCCTCCACAGCATCAGCATCATCATCATCACCACCACCACCATCATCAGCAGCATCATCATCGCGATCATCACCATAAACATCATCATCATCATCATCGTCATCATCATCATCATCGTCGTCGCAATCAGCATCATCATCGGACTCATCGTCTTCAGCAGCATCATCAGCAGCAGCATCATCACAATCATCAACATCGAAATCATCACCGTAATCAGCATCAGTAGCATCAGCAGCATCATCAGCATCAGCAGCATCGTCACCATCAGCCCAGCCTCACCACCAAGAGCATCATCAGAATCAGCATCAGGATCGTCGTCAGCAGCAGCTTGATCATCGTCATCCGCATCACCATCGCAATCATCGACATCGCCTTCAGCAGCAGCATCATCATCAGCAGAAGCATCATCGTCAGGATCAGCATCCCAATCATCATTCACAGCATCATCATCGTAGCAACCATCATCATCAGCAGCAGAATCGTCATCACTAGCATCATCATCAACATCAGCAGCATGGTCAGCAGCAGCAGCATCAGCATCCTCATCATAATAATCAGCATCGTCATCGTCATCATCATCGTCATCCTCATCATCATCGTCATCATCAACGGCATCAGCATCACCAGTATCGTCTTCAGAAGAAGTCGCATCATCAGCAGCAGCATCAGAATCAGCACCAGCATATTCACCATCAACATTACCATCGTAATAATCATCATCATTATCAGCAGCAGCAAATATCACCATCATCATCATCATCATCATCATCATCATCATCGCCATCAACAGCAGCACCATCACCAGCATCATCATAAAAATCATTCCAAATATACTCACACTCATACTGATACTCATCATCGTAATCGTTATCAGCATCAGCATAAGCATCAACATCAGCATCGTACATGACATCGTCGACATCATCGTCGACATCATCATCATCATCATCATCATCATCATCATCATCGTCATCATCATCATCAGTATCATCAGTATCATCATCATCATCACCATCACCATCATCGTCGTCATCATCACCGTCTTCGGAAGCAGCAGTATCGTCAGCAGCAGCATCATCAGCATAAGCATCATCATCATCTTGACCAGCACTATTATCGTAATCAGCATCGTTATCATCAGCAGCATCAGTATTAGCATCATCAGTATACTCATCATCATGCTCATACTCATCAGCATCATCATCTTCAGCAGCAGCAACATCATCATCGTCGTCATCAAGTTTATCAGCAACATCGCAACCATCATCATAGTCTTCAGCAGCAGCATCATCAGCAGTATCAGAACCACCACCAGCATCGTCGTCAGCAGCATCATAATCAGTATCAGCAGCATCACAATCGTCATCAGCATCATCGTTAACATCATCGTCATCATTATCAGCAGCATCAGCATCGCCGTCAGCGTCATCATCATCCTCATCATCATCATCATGATCATCATCATCATCATCATCGTCATCATCATCATCATCATCGTCATCGTCATCGTCATCGTCAGCATCATCATCGTCGTCAACAGATCATCAGCATCGACATCATCATCACCAGCATCATCATCACCATCATCACCATCATGTTCACACTCACAATCATACGCATCATCATCAGCAGCAGCATCATCATCAGCATCAGCATCGTCTTCAGAAGCAGCAGCAGGACCAGCATCAGTAGCGTCATCATCATCAGCGTCAGAACCGTCATCAGCAGCATCATCATCGTCATCAGCATCAGCGTCATCAGCATAATCGCCATCATTAGCATCATCATCAGCAGCATCAGAATCGTCATCATCATCATGATCATCGTCGTCTTCAGCAGCAGCATTATCAGCAGACTCATCAGAATATGAATCATCAGAATCGGCATTATCGTAGTCATAATCGTCGTCATGATCACATTCATCAGCAGCAACATCATCATTATCATCATCTGTATCCTCATCATCAACAGTATCATAACCCTCATCGTACGTATCATCCTCATAATCCTCATCATCATCATCATCATCAGCAGCATCGTAATCATCGTCATCATCAGCACCAGAATTCTAATACTCATCGTCAGCAGCATCATCATCATCATCGTCATCATCATCACTATCACCGTAATCGTCATCATCGTCAGCATACGCATCAGCATCATCATCGGCAGCAGCATCATCATCATCCTGTTCCTCATCCTCCTCCGCCACCGCAACCTCCTCCTCCTCCTCGCCATTACGGCTGAAATCCTCGCCTTTGCGTGCTCGTGCTGTTGCCCCTTTGCGCCACCTTCAGTCCAGCTCCCCTTTGCGCCACCGTCCGCCTCCCCTTCCACCTGTCGTCTCCCCTCTCGCCCCTTGCCTCCGGCAGGGGAAGGCGGAGAAAGAGGAGGAGGAGGCAGAGGAGGACGAGGAGGAGGAGGAGGAGCGCCAGGGCCGCCTGGGCGCCGAGGCGCGGAAGTGGCTCCTCGCGCAGGCGGGCGAACTTCCCGAAGACACGCAACAGGGTGAGCTCGAGCGCGCCTACAAGGTGCTCGGCTGCGCGCTGCAGCAGCAGGTGGCGCGCTAGCTCCAGCGCGCCGCCGGGCTGAGCTCAACTCCAGGGCTCGCGCAGCGCTGAGCTGGGACGCCAGGTTTAGGTCGGGCATGTCCCCCTACAGTCAGATTTTCGACGAAGAATAAAAAACACTGAAGAACTACTCAAAACAAGGTCGAAAGAAAGCTCGAAAAATCGTCCCTTGACTATTTGTCTACTATTCTTGGATATTCCTCCTGTAGAGGGACACGCCCGACTTAACGCCAGCTGGGCGTGGCGTTAAGCAGCGCGCAGCGCGAGGCGCCAGGCGGCCGGCGCGCAGCGCTCTGGGCGCCCCTGGCTAGACACTGGTGACGGCGGCCGCGGGCAGCGCTGGGCGGCGGCGGCCAGGGCTCGCCGCTGGAGGAGGAGGAGGAGGAGGAGGAGGAGGAGGAGGAGGAGGAGGAGGAGGAGGAGGAGGCGGGGGAGGAGGGGGGAGGAGGAGGGGAGGGGGGAGGGACTGGCGCTAGCGCGCTGCTGCTGGCCGCGGGCGCCGCGGCGCGGCCGGGCGACGAGAAGCTGCCCGCGCGGCAGGCGGCCAGGCGGGCACCGGAGGGGCTGTGGGCTGCTGGCTCTGGCTGCCGGCCCCAGCTGCGGGCTGGTGCTCGCGACGCACCGCGCCATCGTCACGTTCGCCATGGCGGTCCTGCGTATCGGAATGTACAGGCCCCGGCTGGCGCACCCTTTCCGCTCCAGGGCCAGTCACCGCTGAGGGGTGCTCTGGTTCCAGGGCTGGGGGACTGCCCCAGCTCCCGATCAAAGTGCTTGGGCGCGCGGACAGACGCGTTCGCCGCTCGGAGGAGGAGCAGCAGGAGGAGGCTGGAGGAGGAGGGGGGGAAGAAGGAGAGAGCTCAAGAGAGGAGTGGGAGGAGGAGGAGGAGGAGGAGGAGGAGAAGAGGAGGAGGAGGAGGAGAATGAGGAAGAGAACGAGGGGGAGGAGAAGGAGGAGGAGGACCATGATGAGCACGCGGAGGAGGAGTGGAACAAGGAGGAGGAGTGGGAGAAGGAGGAGGGGGGACGAGGAGAATGGGATGACGAGGAGGATGAAGGAGTGCACCAGGGAAAAGCCGCGGTTCGGAGAGGGCCCAGGCCACCCGCCCGTGCCGTGGAGCACCAGCGTGTCCACGCTGCTGGCCCCCAGCCTGGCGTCGCGAGCAACGGCGCGGCGAGACGCGGGACCTCTGGGGTATGCGCGCGCGGTCGCACGCCCTTATTCGACCTGACAGGGAGGGAAAGAGAGAGGAGGGGATGGGAGGGGAGGGGAGGGGGTAGGAGGGGGAGGGGAGGGGAGCGGAGGGGAGGGAGGAGAGAAGAAGGAGGAAGGAGGGACGACGTGGGGGATAGGGGAGGAGGGCTAGAGTGGAGGAGGGGTGGGAGGAGGAATGGGAGATGGAGGACGAGGGAGGGAGAGAGGGAGGGAGAGCGGGAGGAGGAGTGGCAGGAGAGGAGGAAGGCGGAGGAAGAGGACTGGAAGCAAATAGAGAAAGCGAAAGAATGGAGGAAGAAAGAAGGACGGGGAGTAGGAGGAGGAAGAGGAGGAGGAAGGAACATCTGGGTGAGGAAGGCGCAAAGAAATGGGGAGGTGAGTAAGCGGAGGAAGGGGTAAAGGAAAAGGAAGACGAAGATGAGGATGAAAAAATATCCTGGCGAAAGACCCAACCATGTGCAGTTGTGACTACCGTGTTGTGGCGCCGCTTTCGGTGGAACTCCCTATGTGGCCAAGACCCGTTTGAGGGGTGTGCCAAAAGAGACGGCACCGCCGTGCGAACCCCGCCGCTGGGGACTTCGGTGGAGCTCTCTATGGGGCCACGAAGCGCGTGAGTGGTGCGCGAAAATGGGGCGGCACCGCCATGCGTACCCTCCCACTGGGGCCTTCGGTGAAGCTCCCAACGGGACCACGAACCCGTGTGAGGGGTGCGCCAAAATGAGGCGGCGGCGCCATGCGGACCCTCCCACTGGACCCTGCCACTGGAGACTTCGGTGAAGCTCCCTACGATGCCGCGAACAGTGTGAGGAATGCGCCAAACTGGGGCGGCGCTGCCATGTGGACGCTGCCACGGGGGCCTTCGGCGGAACTCCCTATGGGGCCACGAACCGTGTGAGGGGTGCGCCACACTGGGGCGGCGGCACCATGTGGACCCTGCCACCGGGGCCTTCGGTGGAACCCCCTATAGGGCCACGAACCGTGAGGAGTGCGTCAAAATGAGGCGGCACCGTCATGTGGACCCTGTCACTTGGGCCTGCGGTGGAGCTCCCTACGGGGCCACGAACCGTGCGAGGAAGGCGCCGAAATGGGGCGGTACCGCCATGTGGACCCTGTCACTGGGGCCTTCGATGGAATACCCTTGATGGGGCCACGAACACTGCGAGGGGTGCGCCAAAATGTGGCACCGCCATATTGACCATGCCACTGCGGCCTTCGCGGCCTTCGGTGGAGCCCCCTACGGGGCCACGAACCGTGTGAGGGGTGCGCCGAAATGAGGCGGCGCCACCATGTGGACCCTGCCACTGGGGCCTTCGGTGGAACCCCCTTATGTGCCCACGAACCGTGCGAGGGGTGCGCCAAAATGGAGCGGCGCCGCCGACGTGTGGACCCTGCTACTGGGGCTTTCGGAGGAACCCCCTACGAACCGTGCGAGGAATGCGCCAAAATGGGGCGGCGCCACCATGTGGACCCTGCCACTAGGGCCTTCGGTGGAACCCCCTGGGGGGCCACAAACCGTGTAAGGGTGCGCCAAACTGGGGCGGCGCCGCCATGCAGACACTGCCTCTGGGGCCTTCGGTGAAGCTGCCGATGGGGCTGCGAACCGTGTGAAAATGGGGCGGCAGTGCACGTGAACCCTGCCACTGGTGCCTTCGGTGGAGATCTCTATGGGGCCGCGGACCGTGTGAGGGGCGCGCCGAGATGTGGCGGCGGCGCCATGCAGACCCTGCCACTGAGGCCTTCGGCGGAACTCCCTATGGGGCCACGAACCGTGTGGGGTGCTCTGGTGGGGCTCCCTGTGGGGCCACGAAGCGTTGCACTGGGTGCGTCGAAACACAGACATGCGGAGGGCCACTGGAGCCTTCGGCTGATCTCGCTATGGGGCCGCGAACCGTGCGAGGGGTGCGCCAAAATGGGGCGGCGGCACCATGTGGACCCTGCCACCGGGGCCTTCGGTGGAGTTCTCTATGGGGCCACGAGCCGAATGAGGGTTGCGCCAAACTGGGGCGGCGGCGCCATGCGGGCCCTGCCGCTGGAACCTTTGGTGGAGCTCCCTATGGGGCAACGAACCGTGCGAGGGGTGCGCCACACTGGGGCGGCACCGCCACATGGACCCTGCCACTTTGGCCTTCGGTGGAACTCCCTATGGGGTCACGAACCGTGTGCGGGGTGCGTCAAACTGGAGCGGCACCGCCTTATGGACCATGCCACTCGGGCCTTCGATAGAACTCCCTATGAGGCCACGAACCGTGTGAGGAGTGCGCCAAAATGGAGCGGCGGCGCCATGTGGACACTACCACTGAGGCCTTCGGTGGAGTCCTCTTATGGGGCCAGGAACCGTGTTAGGGGCGCGCCAATATGGGACGGCGCCACCATGTGGACCCTGCCATTGGGGCCATCGGTGGAGCCCCCTACGGGGCCACGAACCGTGTGAGGGGTGCGCCGAAATGAGGCGGCACCAACATGTGTACCCTGCCACTGGTGCCTTCGGTGGAGCACGAACCGTGTGAGGGGTGCGTCAAAATGGGGCAGCACCGCTATATGGACCCTGCCACTTGGGCCTTCGATGGAGTCCTCTGATGGGGCCACGAACTGCGTGAGGGGTGCGCCGGCATGGGGCGGCACCGCCATGTGGACCCTGCCACTGGGGCCGTCGGTGGAGCCCCCGACGGGGCCACGAACAGTGTGATGGATGCGCCAAAATGAGGCGGCGCCGACGTGTGGACCCTGCCACTGCGGCCTTCGGGGGAGCTCCCTACGGGGCCACGATGCGTTGCACTGCGTACGCCGAAACACAAACATGCGGAGGACTGAGGCAGGGATGGGAGGAGGAAGGAGGGAGGAGGAGGAGGAGGACAAGAGAAAAGGAGGAGAGGACGCGCGGCAATGTCTCATCGAAGCAAGGCCCAACACCACAGGATGGTTGGGAAACAAGTTGACTTGGCGAAGGACCCAACCATATGCAACTGTGAATACCGCAGTTGTGAGCCGCGCCTTCGGTGGAGCTCCGCTTTTGTAGGGCCACGGAACGCGTGAGGGATGTGCCGAAATGGGTGCGGTGGCGCCATGCGAACCCTGCCAATAAGGCCTTCGGTGGAGCTCCCTGTGGGGCCACGAAACATGTGAGGGGTGTGCCGAAATGCACGCGGTGGCGCCATGCGAACCCTGCCACTGGGGCCGTCGGTGAAGCTCCCTATGGGGCCACGAAGCGCGAGTGGTGCGCCAATGTGTGCGGTGGCGCCATGCGAACCCTGCCACTGGTGCCTTCGGTGAAGCTCCCTACGGGGCCACGGAACGAGTGAGGAGTGCGCCGAAATGGGGCGATGGCGCCATGCGAACTTTGCCACTGGGCCTTTCGGTAGAGCTCCCAACGGGACCACGAACCGTGTGAGTGGTGCGCCAAAATGTGTGCGGTGGCGCCATGCGAACCCTCCCACTGGGGCCCTCGGTGGAGCTCCCTATGGGGCAAGTGTGAGGGGTGCGCCAAAATGAGGCGGCGGCGCCATGCGGACCCTCCCATTGGGGCCTTCGGTGGAGCTCCCTATGAGGCCACGAACCGTGTGAGGGGTGCGCCAAAATGAAGCGGCGGCGCCATGCGGACCCTCCCACTGGGGCCTTCGGCGAAGCTCCCAACGGGACCACGAACCGTGTGAGGGGTGCGCCAAAATGAGGCGGCGGCGCCATGCGGACCCTCCCATTGGGGGCCTTCGGTGGAGCTCCCTATGGGGCCACGAACCGTGTGAGGGGTGCGCCAAAATGAGGCGGCGGCGCCATATTGACCATGCCACTGCGGCCTTCGGTGGAGCTCCCTAAAGGGCCACGAAACGCGTGAGCGGTATACCGAAATGAGCGCGGTGGCGCCATGCGAACCGTGCCACTGGGGCCTTCTGCGGAGCTCCCTGTGGGACCACGAACCGTGTAAGGGGTGTGCCGAAACGATGGACATGCGGAGTGCAGAGGCAGGGATGGGAGGAGGGAGGAGGGGGCAGCGGGATGTGAGGTGAGGAACGCAGGGCGCTGTCTCTTCAAAACGAGGACCCAACACCAAAGGATGGTTGGAGATGAAGGGTAAGTAGGCGTGACGGGGGAAGGAAAGACAGGAGGAGGAGGATATGAAGGAGGGACCGGAAGGGGGATGCGGAAGATAGCAGGAGCGAGAAGGAGAAGGAGAAGGAGAAGGAGATGGAGGAGGAGGAGGCGGAGGAGGGTGAGGAGGAGGAGGAGGACCAGTGTAAACCCAAGAGTCGTCAACGATGTTGGAACACACCCTCCCTCCAAGCTCTCTTCTTAGGCCCCCACAACGGCTCATTTCCATAGAGGGAACTGCCTCGTTGGAAGACAACCGTTTGAAGACCCTGAAGCATGCCAACACATTGTTCTCGGGACTCCAACGCCACGGAACAACCTGACATTTGCGTGTTGACGATCCTGAGTCGCCATTATTGGGACTCCAGCGCCGCGAGTGAATGTAATTGTTGCACCCTCAATCCTGAATATTTCCAAGACACATTTTATGGTATTTTGATGATGGGATCCGCGAAACTCTTGCACATGTTACTAACGAATTTGCGCGGCGCTAAGGCGGGAGCCACATTTTGAGAAAGAACCGCCCTCAATCCGTGAAGCTCCTGCTGATCTTGAAACGAATGTGCGCGGCGCTTAGGCGAGAGCCACATGTTGAAAACGGTTTCCCCTCAATCCTCGGAATTCCGCGACATGTTTGCAACGAATGTGCGCGGCGCCACATCAAGCCACATGTTGAAAACGGCACGCCCTCCATCTGTGAAACGGTTCCCAATTATACTCCTCCTCCTCTTCCTCCTCCGCCGCCTCCGCCGCCGCCGCCGCCTCCGCCGCCGCCGCCTCCGCCTCCGCCTCCGCCTCCGCCGCCTCCGCCTCCGCCTCCTCCTCCGCCTCCGCCTCCGCCTCCGCCTCCGCCTCCGCCTCCTCCTCCTACTCCTCCTCCTCCTCCGCCTCCTCCGCCTCCTCCCCCTCCTCTTCTTCATAGTATTCTTCTTATTATAATTAGTAGTAGTAGTAGTAGTAGTAGTAGTAGCAGCGTTCTTGTTATTATTAGTGTTATGTTTGATATTATTAGTATTATTATTATTAATATTATTATTATTATTATTAGTGTTATTATTATTATTATTAGTATTATTAGTGTTATTATTATTATTGTTATTAATAGTATCATTATTATTATTAGTATTGCTATTATTATTGTTAATAATAATGATATGATTATTAGTATTATTAGTATCAATAATAATATTACTAGTAGTATTACTATTATTATTAGTATAATTATTATTAATATCATTATTAATATTATTACTACTAATATTATTATTATTACTATTAGTATTAGTATTAGTATTATTTGTACTAGTATTATTAGTAGTATGATTAATATTAGTAGTAATACTATTATTATTAATAATAATAATATTATTCGTATTAGCAGTACTACTATTATCATTAGTATTAGTATTATTATAAGTATGATTATTATTATTAGTATTAGTATGATAAATATTGTAAATACTATTAATATTGGTAGTATTAGCATTCGCATTCTTATTTGTATTATGTTTAGTAGTATTATTGTTAATTACTACTACTATGAAAATTACGATTAGCATTATTATCATTAGGAGTAGTAGTAGTATTACTATTCCGATGAATAGTAATATTATTAGTGTTATTAGTATTGTTAGTAGTAGTAGTAGTACTACTATGAATATTAGCATGTATAGTATTAGTATCGTTAGTAGTAGTGTTAGTAGTATTCTTAGCACTATTATTAGTAATATGAGTATTAGTATTATTAGTAGTAGTAGTATTAGTAGTAGTAGTAGTCGTAGTATTCTTCATGTTATTATTAGTATTAGTATTCGTCTTCTTGTTCATATTATTAATATTATTTTCATTATTCATAGTATTCGTAGTATGATTATTCTTATCGTTAGCATTAGCATTATTAGTCTTACTATTCGTTTTCTTCTTACGATGATTAGTATTATGATTCCTCTTCTGCCTCGTCTTCCTCCTCCTCCTCATCCTCTTCCTCCTCCTCCTCCTCTTCCTCCGCCTCCTCCTCCTCCTCCTCCTCCTCCTCCTCCTCCTCCTCCTCCTCCTCCTCCTCCCCCCCCCCCTCCCGTCCCCCTCCTCCTCCTCCTCCTCCTCCTCCTCCTCCTCCTCCTCCTCCTCCTCCTCCTCCTCCTCCTCCTCCTCCTCCTCCCCCCCCCCCCTGTCCCCCTCCCCCTCCTCCTCCTCCTCCTCCTCGTCCTCCTCGTCCTCCTCCTCCTCCTCCTCCTCCTCCTCCTCGTCCTCCTCCTCCTCCTCCTCCTCCTCCTCCTCCCCCTCCTCTTCCTCCTCCTGCGCGCCGTACCGTTCTCCTCTCCTCCTGTCCTCGTCGTCCGCCTCGTCCTCATCCTGCCGGCTGCAGGCCTGCAGGCTGCGCGCGTGAATCATCCAGCTGCCCTGGCGCAACCCCATCCTGTCAACTGTCGCTTGTGATACGTCCGCGTGGGAAAGATCGTTTACCCTTAGGTCGAGCATGTCCCCAATACTCAAAAAATACACCAAAATTTTCAAAAATACTCGAGCACGGCCCCGGCGCCCGCCCCGCCCCCAGTCCCGGCCTCGGCCCCGGCCCCAGCCCTGGCCCTGGCTCCCGCTCCTGGTCCGCTCTGGCCCCGGCCCTGGCCCAAGTCCAGGCCCCAGCGCCCTCCAAATCTAACTATACCTCCGTGGCCTCCCAGATGCCCAAAATGACGAACCTAGCTTCAAAACAGCGAACGAAGCCTGGAAGTCGCCCCTGCAGGAGGGCCCCATGACGCCCCGAATGGTCCCGATAGGCAACCGGCATCGTCGTCAACACCGTCAACATCCTCGCCGATATTTCCCTCCTTCTCCTCCTTCCTTCGTGCCCCCCCCCCCGACCCTTTTCGCCTCACTCTCTTCCTACGCATTCCACCCATGTACTCCTACTCCTCCTCATCCACCTCTTCCTCCTGTCCCCCTCCTCAACTTCCTCCCCATGCTCCGCGCCCTCCTCCCCAACCTCAGGGTCGGCGGCACTGGCCGTAAGGCCTTCGCAATGATCAACTCGAAAAATCGTCCCTGACAGAATGTTACTATTTTTGAAGATTCCTCCTGTAGAGGGACACGCCCGACTTTAGTGTACCCCCTCCTGCCCCCATGCCTCACTCCGCCTCCGCCCCCTGCTCCGCCCCCGTTGCGCTGCTGACCGCCGCTCCCCTCCCCGACTCGCCCCTCCCCCAGCGCCTGCCCCCCGAGCCCACTGCGCGCCCCCGACTCAACCGTGTCGCTGACATTTTGACCGCGGGAGCGCGGGGGGGGGCGGGGGAAGCAGGAGGCGAGGGGTCCAGATCTCGGGCAGTCGCACACCATGCATCCACAACGGGTATTCACACCGTGAGGAGGAAGAGTCGAGGAATAAAAAACGGCACAAACATAAACTGTCGACGGTCCACGCGGATTTCATGGATCTGCGCTGGACCCCACTCCATGGCGCGCGGAGCGCACCAGGGGCGGCGGCGGAGACGCCGCCGGGGGGGCCCAGCGCGGATCCAAAAAATCCGCGCGGAGCGCCAAAAGCTGCTGCTCATGCTCATCTTCGTATTATTAGTTGTATTATCATTAACAATCTTATTATTACTTCACGTATTATCATTATTCAAAAGAGAGAGAGAGAGGGAGGGAGGGAGGGAGGGAGGGAAGGGAGGGAAAACAAGGAGGCATGCTGTCTGAAAACGCCCAACCCCCCTCCCCTATCTGCACCACGCGGGGGGCCGGCGACAGAAGCCTCTTCAGGCTGGCCTCGAGAGGGCCCAGCACCGAGAAGGAGCGCGCCGTCGCACCCATCAGCATGCCGAGGCCTCGGCGGGGAACGGCAGCCCGAGACAGAGAGGGCAAGACGAGGAGGAGGAGGAGCGCAGCGACCAGCGAGAGATGCGGCCCAATTACGTGTAGGGCAGGGGAGAGAGGCAGGAAGCCCTGCACGCACACGGAGAACGGCACCAGAAGTTGACCCGCCGCGAGGAGGAGGAGGAGGAGGAGGAGGAGGAGGAGGAGGAGGAAGAGGAGGAGGAGGAGGAGGAGAAGAAAGAAGAGGCGGAGGAGGAGGACAACGACGACACCGACGACGACGACGACGACGACACCAACGACGACGACACTCACGACGACGACACTCACGACGACGACGACGACGACGACGACGACGACGACGACGACGACGACGACAGCGAAGACGACGACGACGACGACGACGACGACGACGACGACGACCACGACCACGACGACGCCGACGAAGCCCGACGGCCACGACCACGACAACGACGACGAGGGGGAGGAAGGGGCAGGGGAATGGGGCCTGGCACCCCGCCGGTCCCATTCTCCATTTATCTAAAGCCATCGTTGATGACTCTTGGGTTTACATGGTCCTCCTCCTCCTCCTCCTCCTTCTCCTCCTCCTTCTCTTCCTCGCCCTCGTCCTCTTCCCCCCCCCCTCCTCCTCCGCCTCCCCCTCCTCTTTTTCCTCCTCGTCTTCTCACGGGGCACACCACGAGAACACCCAAGGCAGCTGTGGCGGTGGCCGAAATTACGAAGAAACCGTCCACTATGCGCGGCATGCGCGAAGCATGGTTTGGCGCGTTCGGCTGACGGTGTAAAAACCGCTAGACCGAGCAAGGAGACGCCGTCCAAGGCACGATACACCATCTGCGCTTTAGGACGGTTATCCGCCACCCTGCCCCCTGACACGTTGAAGCACGGGGGGGTGCGAGGGTGCTGTGTCTGGTGGAGTGTCGTTTCTGTCTTCTACGTGGCCCCCCATTCCATCCGCCCGCAACCAGATGCATGCATCCCCGCCCCTTCCCTCTTGCACAAACGATCCCTCGAAAAAAACAAAAGAGAACCCGCGCCCCCGAGGCCGCGATGCCGCGTACCGAAAAATGGCCCCGCGCTCCCGAAGCTACGATCCCTCGTTTCAGGAGATGGGCTCGCCCTGCCGAGGCCACGATCCCTGACAGAAAATAGCGATGTCGCGTTCCCGAGGCGCACGACCCCTCGCATACTTTTTTGGTCTGCGGATCGGGAGCGGGCCCCTTCCGGCCAAGAGCTAAACGGGACGCGAGTAGCCCTAATTGGGGAGACAGGGCGCGGGCGGGCGGGGCGCCAGGCGGCCGGAGGGCTCAGAGCACAGGCGGCGCCGAAGAACTTGCATAAGACAAGGTACGCCATGGACTGGAGCAGGGGGCGAAGTCCCAGAGGGAGAGTGGATTGGCGTTGCCGTCATCGGCGCGCCAAGAACACCATCCTCGAACGCTGCGTGAGGGGGGCCGTGAGCAAGTCAACGTCCGCGAGGTAGAGGAAGACCAGGAAGGCGAAGTGCACCACGTGCCACCGACTGGCAAGGAGAGGCCCAAGAAATGCGGAAGACCACGAAGTCGATGTGCAACGTTGTGCCACCGGGTGGTCAGTAGCGGCCTGGGGTGGTAGTCCAATCCACGTCCAGGTAGCAGCCACGAGGTTCGGCATGAAGGCCGAATGTGTCCGCCTGCCGTGGGCCGGGCCGGAGCCGCGCTGCCCAGGGTGAGCGGGGCCGCCGAGGCGGCAAGGTGCAGTGTCAGCACTGGGCCGGAGCCGCGCTGTGCCGGGCGCTGCCGCCATGGGAGGGGGGGGGAGCGAGCGGGGAGGGAAAAAGCGGGCAGGGAGGAGAGAGGCCAGCATCCCACGCCGGCCTGAGTCCCGCCAGCGTGCACCGAGGTGCCCGCGTGGGGACACGTCCCAATACGCACAGGTAAGGCCCGAGGCCCCAGCGCGGGCGTGTCACGCACGTCGCTGCCGTAACAATGCGTCGCAGGTAAGAACAAGGGGGGACACAGGGTCCCAGATCCTTGAGTCAAGTCCAGCCGATGGGTACAGGGGGGAACCAAAAAACATCGGCCCGCGCGCCCGAGCTTCCGAGACGGCCGAAACACCCCGACAAAGACGCCAAGATCACAGATTCCCCTTACGTGCCTGAACGATTTGGGCGCCTTCGCGTGGCCAGGCTCCTCAACTACAGGCGGCACTCGAGGCCTCCGAGAGGACCCAGAGACGGCCCGAGGCGGCCCCAGAAAGACCCGAGAATCTGCCAAAGCGGCCTCGAAACAGCCCAAGAGGGCCCCTAGACGACCCAGGAGGGGCCCAAGAGAGCCCCAAGCTGGCCCAAGAGGGCCTCCCAAGGGACCCAAGACGATTTCAGAAAGCCCCATCGACTGTCCGCCACACAGCTGCCGCGAGGAGCGCGTTTTTTCTGTTCGACGATGACGGGCGTCATGAGGGGGGAGGGGGGCGAGGGGGGGGTATGATGTAACGCCCCCCCCGCCGTGTGGCTCCGGCACCGCAGCCGCGCCCGCGCGCGCGACGCGACGAGCGGCGAGCGACGAGCGACGAACGACGAGCGACGAGCGACGAGCGACAAGCGACGACGACGACGATGACGACGACGACGACGCGAGCAGCATGTAGGTGGCGATATGCCCCACTGCGCCTGTGTACACCACAACAACGCTCGCGTGCACCACAGCGCGCGTGTATACCACAGCTCCTGCGTACACCGCAACAACCGTGTGCAACGCAACGCCGGTGTACATCACAATACTTGCGTACAACAGCGCCGGTGTACACGTGCACACCGCAGCTACCATGTGCAATACAGCGCCTGTGTACACCAATGCTTGCGTGCACCGCAGCGCCTGTGCACGCCACAGCGCGCGTCTACACCACAGCATCCGCGTGCAAGGCAGCGTTGGTGTACACCACAACGCGCGCGTGCTTAGGACAGATAGAACGAGCATGTACGTGAGGATCTGCTGCGGACAACTCGGCGCCACGCCAGGAAAGTGCTGATAATCGAATGCGACGTTTTCCCTCCTCCCTCCTCTTCCACCTCCACCACCTCCACCACCTCCCCCTCCTCCTCCTCTTCCTCCTCATCATCATCATCATCATCCTCCTCCTCCTCCTCCTCCTCCTCTTCCTCCTCCTCCTCCTCTTCCTCCTCCTCCTCCTCCTCCTCCTCCTCCTCCTCCCTCCTCCTCTTTTTCCTCCTCTTCCTCCTCCTCCTCCTCTTCCTCCCTCCTCCTCCTCCTCCTCCTCCTCCTCCTCCTCAACCTCCTCCTCCTCCTCCTCCTCCTCCTCCTCCTCCTCCTCCTCCTCCTCCTTACCCCCTGTCGTGCGGGTTGGCGCTACAGCGCACGTGCGCATCTCAGCGCGCACCGCAGAATGATCGATTGAATCGGTCCACTTGGCTCTCGGACGGCCAATTTAGCCCGAGCCTCCTGGACGCAGATGGGAAGAGTTAGGGTGTTGCGGCCGGATCCGGGAGGACTCGCAGATTCCAGCGGCGCTCCGTTGTCCATAAGGATTATATTATTTTGTTTTCTGTGGAATCCACCAGCAATCCATTTTGTAATAAAGATTCGTTATAACATTCTATATACAACAGTGGTGCTGTGTTGCACACGGTTCCTGTGGTGCACACAGGCGCCGTGGTGCACACAGGCACTGCAATGCACGCAGGCATTCTGGTGTACACTGGTCTTGTGTTGCACACGGCTGATGTGGTGTACGCAAGCGTTGTGTGCACGAGAGCTGTTGTGCCCGCAGGCACGGTGGCGCAAACTGACGCTGCGTTGCACGTGGCTGATGTGGTGTATATAGGCGGCGTTGTGTACACAGGCGCTGTATTGCACGCAGGCACTGTGGTGTACACAGGCGTTGTGGTGCAAATCGCCACCTACATGCTGGCGCGACCCGTCCTGCGTCATTCCTACGCATTCCCAGACGCCGCCGTGAAACGTAACGACATCGACCCCCTCCACCCCCCCCCTGGATGATTGCCGTCGTCGGCCTTCAGCCGCGTCCGCGCGCACGACGAGTATGAGCGACGAGCGACAAGCCACGAGCGACGACGACGACGACGACGACGACGACGACGACGACGACGACAGCGGACCAGACTCCTATGCGGATTCCTACGCAGACACCTACGCGGATCCCAAAACGCACGGCGGCAGTGCCCGGAGCGCACTGGGGGGGGGAGCGTTACGTCATAGAGGGGCTGGGGGGAGGGGAGCGGGGGCCATGACGCCCGTCATGCCCCAAGCAATAAAGAAACGGGCTCGAGGGAGCCCTCGGGCGGCCAACGGGGCCCCGAGACGGGACCCCCAAGACTGCCCCACAGGAGCCCGAGAAAGGGAGCTACAGCAATATGTTTTGTTCGCACTCTGGCCACTATAAGTACGACAGCGTTCGGATGACGTGACTGCTGGTTTGCCCGAGCGGTCTGCCGGCGGCCCCCGTGAGCACCGACTGCAGCTAGCTCCCCCCTGCCCTACCAGGGCAGCCGCTCGGGACTCGTGGCTCCCCACTGCACTACCAGGAAGATGACGAAGACAGGAAGAGTACCCCCGACACACGGCGCGGAAAAGTCGGGAGCGGCCAAGAGGGGGGTGTCCAAGAGGGGGGGGTGCAAATCATGACCGGCGGCATGTGCGCGGCCCAGCGGGGGTCTGGGGACGTAATGAAATGAAAAGAGGCGCCATGAAATCTGGGGAAACATCATGGCCCCCGCCATGATATCCACCCCCCTAGTCATCACCCCCCTCTTTGCCGCCCCCGAAAAAGCGTGCCGCACGCTGCGGATGTCACCAGAGCCCCAGGACGCGTAGTGCCATGTAGGCTGCGGCCTCCCGTGCGACCCCCGCGCAGGTCGCCGCCCACTGTGCTGGGCTGGCACGGTGACGGGACTCGCCGCAGGCAGCTGGTGACTACCTACCAGACCACCCCAACCCAACCCGAAGACCCGAATTTCGGGTTGGGTGGTTGTGTTTTTTCGATGTTACCTGACCCCCCCACACTGGAAATGGAGGGCGAAGTGAGGCCTTCGGGTTGGGTTGGGGTGGTTTGGTTGGTGGTGAGGATTAACCTCCTGGCATTGAGGGATGAAAAAACGTCCCTGCCCTGGGTTACAAGTGCGTGGTCTGTGAACCTCCTGGGAGCTCCCAAAGGCCAGAGAGCCGCAAGGACGCCGCGCGACACGCGCGGTACGCAGTGTTTACCCTGTCAGCCAACAGAAGGTTCAGCGCACAGCGCCTCGTAATCCAGGGTAGGGGCGTTTCTTACGCCATTGCTGGTAAAACCCCGTGGCCTCCTAGAAAGCAAGCAGTTATATCGTTGATTCATGCGTCAGCGGGTTACTTCTACCGACGACAGCGCTGTGCACCTGGGCCGTGCGGCCGCTCTTGATGCTGTGTCCACGGCCGCGCCGTGGCAAGCAGACGAACAGCCTCAATACCTACATCCAGGAAGCGATCCCATTGCAAACAGAGCTGTCTGTTCGCAGCCGATCCGCACCGCGCCGGCGATGCCGCGCCATGGACTGGGACGCACAAAGACATACTGGTACTATGTGTTATCCTTGGAGGCGCGCGTCCGACCCAAACATATAGTATACCCATCTTGTAGTGTATCGTTTCCCGAGCGGCGTAGCCAGAAAGCGCCAGCCACGACGCATATTATAAGATTTCTCGGTGCGCGCACTGCCCCCTGGGGGGCGACGCACATATAGTATAAGTATGTTGGGGCGACGCCGATGGACTGCATGCCATAAGACAGGCCCCCAAAGGTGCTGCTCGCAGCGGCGTCCGCCAGAGCGGGGCTCATCTGCGTGGCTGTCGAGCACCGGAGGCGACGGCACCCAACCACCGCCGCAGAACACACAGACCTCTGGCCCCAAAGCGCCACAGAATGAGTGGGATGCTGCAGGTTCTGCTGCGCTTGCCGCCACTGACGCTGCTGATCCTGCCCCCCTAGTGTCCCCCGCTGGTGCACTTCCTCCGCCCCCTCTCCCACTACCGTCTCCACAACTTCTCTGTCGTCCCTCGTCCCTCTGATTAGGGAGCACAACGTCACACCGCAGCCTAGCATCAACTCGTGAAGACAGCGACGGTTCATGCATGTGGATGTATGCGAGTGGACGTGCTCATGAGGTGAAAGAGGCAGACTGGGTCTGACGTACCAGTGGCAGTCTAGGGCCAAAGCCGAACGTCGGGCGCGGTGTTAGTCGCATACAGTACCGCGGCGACACATCCAGGGAACTGTTAGCATCCTGTCACGCCCATCTTCCCAAACCCTGTGGGCTTGGATTCCACCTGACATCCGCTTGCCACTACCAACGACCGCACCCTTTATGTACTGAAGCCTCTGCTACTCCTCATCGCCATCATCATCGTCGTCATCGTCCGTAAGATCGTCATGGGAATCGTCATCCTCACCACTACCATCACCATCATCGCCATCACCACCATCACAATCACCATCGCCACGATTTGAAAACCCTTGGTCCGTTGAGTCGACGAAAAATGAATCGGCATGATTGGCGGACAAATGTCCCACCGCATCTTATACTGCCAGCGGCCAGGCTACACGGAAACAAGCACGGTATGCATGTCGATTGCGCCAAAGTCACGGATGCCACCTGGTTCACATGCTCTTAGCTTTTCGCTTGGGGAGGTGGAGTGGGAGACGATATCGCAACAACCCAAGACAACGACACAAGTGGGTGTCCAGGCAATTCCACGGAAGCACACGCGACAATGCAAGCTTGAAACGCGACGCCTGCAAAGACGGAGTGCAAACTCGGAGGCACAGTAATCAATCTTAGCCTGAGCAACTACGGAGGGAAGATGAGGAGAAGGAGGACGACGACGAGGAGGACGAGGAGAGAGAGTGGGCAAGATGGTTGTCGAACAACGGCAATGCCACAAATCGGTTGCTTGCGGTTAAGAGAACGGGTGAAGAGGAGGAGGAGGAGGAGGAGGCAGAGTGGAACGAGGCGGGCGAACGTTAGACAAACGAGTCGCGTGCGTAACCCGCATGGCCGACTGGCCACTGGAAACACACACAACTGAACCCAAGCGCTTCGCAGGCGGCAGCGGCAAAAAACGATCGCCCTGGACGTGGGCCCGGGGAAGGAGGAGGGAGCAGGAGGAGGAGGAATAGGAGGAGGGGGAAGGAGGACACAGTAACTAAAATCCCACCAGCCCTTTGGGCGTGAGTGGTTTAGAGAGCTCTCGCTGTTCTCAACCCCCCTTCTTCCCCTTCGGGGAGGGGTTTACCCCTCCCCCTACCCCCTCAAAAAACGACACCCCTCACGAGGATTCTGGCCCCGACGGGGGGAGGGAGAAAAAATGCTCTCCTCTTCTTTGAAGCCAAAATCATTGATTTTACTACGGTTTTGGCCACATTTTGCCCTTCTGAGGGGGCAGCGCTCCTTCAAGCTCCCCTCTTCTTTCAAGGCAAAATCGTTGATTTTACTAAGGTGTTGGCCTCATTTTGCCCTTCTGAAGGGGGCAGCGCTCGTTAAAGCTCCCCTCTTCTTTGATCGATTCCCTCCAAGATGGCCCGAAGAAGCGCCCAGGAGGCACCAAGAGGCCCCAAGATGGCCCCAAGAGGCCCCCAGGAGGCCCCCAAGAGGCCTCCAAGAGGCCCCCAAGATGCCCCCAAGAGGTCCCTAAGAGGCCCCAAGAGGCTCCCCCGAGTCACCCAAGACGCTCCTGGAAGCCCCTGGGGCCGCCAAGACGCCCCCAAGACGCCCCAAACGGCCTCCAAGAGGCTCCCAAGAGGCCCGAAGAGGCTCCCCCAAGGCACCCTAGACGCTCCTAGAAGCCCATGGGGCCGCCAAGAGGCCCCCAAGACGAGCCCGAACGACTCACACCAGGACGAGGGGCCCGAACGACTCACACCACGAAGAGCCCGAACGACTCACACCAGAAGGAGGGGCCCGAACGACTCACACCAGGACGAGGCGCCCGAACGACTCACACCACGAGGAGCCCGAACGACTCACACCACGACGAGGGCCCCGAACGACTCACACCACGAGGAGCCCGAACGAGTCACACCAGGAGGAGGGGCCCGAACGACTCACACCAGGACGAGGGGCCCGAACAACTCACACCACGAGAAGCCCGAACGACTCACACCAGGACGAAGAGCCCGAACGACTCACACCACGAAGAGCCCGAACGACTCACACCAGGAAGAAGGGCCCGAACGACTCACACCAGGACGAGAAAGCCCAAACGACTCAAACCACGAGGAGCGTTTTCTCTCCCTCCTCCTCCGCCTCGTCCTTCTCCCGCCCCCCCCACAAGGAGGATGTACAAGGAGGCGGGAGGAAGGAGGATCAGGGGAGATATGCGGGGCCAAGCGGACACACGCCTGAAAAACACGACTGTCGGCATGCTTCGCAAGAGTTGCTGTTGTGAGATGGGCTGGTGGGGATACGCGAAGCGTAAAGAATTCTGACCGAATTTGGCCAGGCGTAATCAAACGCGATTGTGGACAATGATTGCGACGCCCTGGCGGCAGAACTCCTCGGAAGCCCCGGGGACGTGCGCGCCCTCCACCTCTCATTGGAAAACGGCCCCACGCGGCACAAGATCGCCAGGCAGCCCCCCACGACCTGCATGGGAAGTTCCTGCAGCACGAAAAACACGTCCAGCTTCAAGCCAGACATAAAGGCTAGGAAGTGGAACTCAGCAAGAAGGACCTTCACTGGCCCCATCCGCCACTACACGCGAACCTGCAGGGGCCCGCGCCCTGGAATCCGTGGATGGCGGGCGCACCACCCGTTGAAGACGCCATGAAACGCCAATTGTTGCCATTAGACGCGTTTTGCTGCAGGTGGCGTGGCGCCCGTGCGGGCCGATGCCCAGAGAGCGTGGTGAGACTCCACCGATCCAGCCAGGCCAGAGATGGCGTTGAGCTGGTAGTCCTGGAGCACCACGACAAACCATCGTCACCCTGCGCTGCCACCCCTGGCCTTTTGGGAAGCGAAATTCGGCCGTTGGTGAAGCGGCCAGCATCAGCGATATGTACCTGCACATCGGCGCTCGCGAGCTGCAGGAGGTAGCACCTCGAACGCCATATCCCCGCCACGCCTCCTGGGCGAGGGTGCTGCTGGTATTGTTGCGGAACGACAACACACGGTGGGCGCGGGCATGCACGTGCAGGTCGCCTTGCAACCCGAAACGGACCACCCTCGCATTGGACGAGAGCGCCGCGGCCCGTGCGTTCCGCAGCTCCTACGGCAAAAAAAAAAAACAAAAAAAAAAAAAAAAAAAAACACATGTTCGGAGCACCGTCAATCAGCTGTTGTGATACAGTCAGTAGGCCCTGGTCACACATGCCAGCCCCACGCGCCGCGGGAGGGCAGAGGGGCACCGAGGCCCGCTCCGCGGCCCAGGGAAACGCCGCTCCCCAGCCATGGGGCGCGGCGCCCCGAGCGTCGCCCCGACGCGCGTCGCAGCGACGCCCGAGACGCCAGGGGCGCGAAGAACCCCCAGGGCGCGGGCGGGCGGGACAAAACGCAGCACGCGGCCTCGCATGGGCAGCGTGCACGCCACGGGCCTCGCGGGGCCCCCTCCCCAGAGAGGCGAACCCACAGCGCGCGCAACCGCGCGCACGGACGGGCCCCTCGAGGCCGCCCCAACGCCACCCGCATCACGGCGCGGTGGCCCAGCGCAGCGGGACAAGTGCGCGCCAGCTTCACAACATCGGCCAACAGGCCAGCGGCCGCACATGGGCGGACCGCGGACAAGAGAATGCAGGAGCGCAGAAGCGGCAGCCGCACAGGCACACCAGCACCCCTCCCCAACCCACGGCCCTGCACCCCGACCCCCCCCCGCCCCGGGGACGAGGAGAAGGCAGGGGAGAAGGGCAGACGCAGGAGCGGCATTCGTGCAAGCCCACAAACGCAGCGACAGCGCGAGCAGTGTCCCCGAGTTTGTGGGCCCATCACAACTGCCAGCCCCGCGCGCCGGGGGGGGCAGAGGGGCACCGAGGCCCGCTCCGCGGCCCAGGGGAACGCCGCTCCCCAGACACGGGGCGGGGCGCCCCAAGCGACGCCCCGACGCGCGTCGCAGCGACGCCCGAGACGCCAGGGGCGCGAAGAACCCGACGCCAGATTGTAGATCTGGTGGCTCGGGCGGCGCCTGCCCCAGAGGCGCACCCCCCCCCCGCTGCATGCGCCTGCAGGGGTGAGGCAAGGCACGAAGCCACGTTGCGTTGACGTCCCCAGCGGAGGACGCCCCAGTGCGCTGCGACTCGACGCACCGCCAGGGCTGATGAATCGGACGAGGAGTCGCTGCTGGAAGACTCGTCAAAATGCGCCTGCGAGCGACGAGCGCATTACGGACCGCCTAAATGGGGAACGCATCGCGCCTCCAGCACGGCGCTGGATTCGAGGTCCTGAGCACTAATGTATTGCAGGAACGCAGGCGAACGCCACTGCCCAGCCTTTAGATCCGCCCCCAGGCAACTGCCACCTTCAAGCATGTCCCGCGCGCCCCCTGCGGTCGCAGCGCGCGAACGGGCGCGGGGCCCGAGCCCGCGCGAGGCCGCGGCGCAGGTCATGAGACCGATACAGCTGCGCCTCGGAAGCGAACAATATGGTCAGCATCCCCCGCGGGAACCGCAGCGCCCTGCAAGGCGTTAAGCTCGGGAATAATTTCTGCCCCCGGGCACGCGTCGCAACAATCTTGCCGAGCACGTGCACAAGGCAAGTTTCTGAATGCTTTGCGCACCAGCAACCGCGGACCAGCTCGGCGCCCGACGGCACATTCTTTCTGCTGGCCAAACGCAGCCGCCGTTCGCCCCCGGCGACGTACAAGCAGGACTGCACTCCGCCCACGGGCTCGATCGCGCCCCACACGGATGGGACTGCCTCCGATGGGACGCGCAGCGAGAAACTATACGCCAGTAGGCACATGACTTGCGTCTCTCTCAGTTCGGCGTCGCGCAAAGCTAGTTCCAACATGCGCGCGACCATGCCGTGCCTGATATGCATCTTCTTGCGTGGGACAAACAGCCGTCGCTTCCTGCGCGCGCCGACAAACCGCGCGACCCGGGCGCGACCGCCCCGCGCGCCCCGCAACCGCCCGATAGCAGCACGAGCTTGCGCTAGTTCGGGCGCCTTGAACACTGCCGCGCCCGCGCTGCAGAGCATGCACACGGCGCGCACGAAGCTCAGACAATTCGCGAACGTTCTGCTGCACCGAAAGAGGGACGCCCGTGCCAATAGAGAATCGAGGGCGGGCGGGGTCTGGGCGCCGCCAAGGCCCAGGGCGCCCTCGCAGAACCCACTCCAGCATCGCATTCCGCTTCGCAAGCTTGCAATGGGCCGGGGGCGCGAGCCCAGCAGCGACCGCGCGCGCCCCCTTTCGACCCAATTGGCGCGAGCCGCCGGCGCGCGCAGTTGGCTCTGCAGCGATGCTGTAGCGGCGCGCGGACCTTTGCCTGAGCACAACGCCGTTGGTGCGATGTCATCCCCCTCACCGGCTGTCGCCGCGGCGATGGCGCCCTCAAATGTATCCAGGATATTGAGTGATGCTGCCGACAGCGGCCTCGCCTCACCTCGCACTGGGCTGCGAGACCTTCGCAAAGCCGCCGCGGGTCGCGCCCCGCCGCGCGCGCCCGCGCAGCAATGATACCCGCGGCGAGCGACGGGCGCCGGGAGAAAGGCACCTGCGGTCCGCCGCCTAGCTTCGGCGAGGCGAATGAGCTCCGCCATGAGGGGGCACGGGCCGAGCCCGAGAGGGCGCCCCTGGCCGTTCAGGTCGGACGCGCAAGCCCCGACCAATTCCCCGATGGCCCGGAATCTGTTGGCGGACAAGATCGCCGCAGCAAGCGCAATGTCCCTCGCTTCGCGAGCGGGGGCCAGCGATTGCAAACATTCACTAAAATGCGGCGACGCCACCGCGCGAGTCACGTCCATGGCTGCGAAGAGCCGCCGCGCGCCCACTGGTCGGCGGACTGCGCGTGCGCTGCGCGATCCCCGGCGCCCTGCGCAGATGCCAGCTGCGGCACTGCGCGAGCCGCGGCCAACCCCACTGCGCCGACTTCGCTCGACGCTCGCTGGCAGCACTGGCGGCCTTCATTTTAGCCGCGCAGTCGCCGCCGACAGGGCTGACCACGGCGTGGGTTCCCAGAAGGGACCGTCGAGCACGGGCGGCGCGCGCACAGCGCCGAGCAAAGCTAGCAAGTCATATCCCTCGCGGGAAGGGAGATCCGCGATGTTGAGTTCGGAGGGGACTCAGTCCACCCGCAGGGCGATCTGCTGCTGGGCTGCCTTGAGCCACAGGCAGTTTACCAGGCAGGAGTAGTCCCATTCTTTGGACGACCCCCTGCTGGTCACGGTCTCGGCGCCTACACTGTCGCTCCACACCCTGACCTTGCGGCGCCGCAAGAAGCGAACCAAAGTGCAGAGCCCGAACGCAATTGCGAGCAGCTCCAGGGACATGATCACCCCGTCCGCCCGCTGCTTCAAGCAACTCATCAAGCTGCGGGGCGGCTCCAAGTCGGCAAAGTAGATCTGTTCATCATGCACGAGCACCGCCGCCACTCTCGACGGAGTGCTCCTTGCATCCACAGATAATTGGACCGGAGGGCCGCTGGGGCAGAGCCACTGCTTCTTTTCGTGCAATTCAAGGGCAAGGACCTCGTCCCACCAGCGGAGAGCGTCGCGGAGTGGCTCGGGCACGCTGGCCCGACCCTGTTTGGCTTGACGGTGCAGGGGCACCATGGCGGCCCTGCCAAGGCGATGGAACATATTATGGACGCCCATCGCAGGGCTCCGGCGAGCTTGGAAGCGTCGCCGGGGCGCAGCGAGTTGCTGTTCAAAGCGCCGTGAATTCGCGAGCGCCACTTGACGACCTTATCCGCGGAAGGTGCACATGAAAAACCTTGCCCGTCCGCGCTCACATTGAACCCGAGCACTTGCAGCTGCAATCCCCAGCCCATCTTGGCCGGCGCAATGGCCTCGCGCCCAAGCATGCAACGCACCAGACGCGCTACGCAGCGCAGCGCGTGCACCACCGATCCTCTCCGCTCTGCAGCGAAGAGGTCGTCGACAAACCTCCGCAGGGGCACGCGCAGCACCACGCGAGCGACACGCGAGATTAAAGCTCCCACTCGCTCCCATGCGTGAACGGAAGCGATTGCCCCGAACGGCGCGGCGCAATGCCGCGCTGCGTGCGCCACACCCTGAATCAAGAAGACAATACAGAGCAGCGCGCTGTGAAGAGGCGACGCCGGGGCGCGCCTGAAGGCGGAGCAGCGGCCCCTCTACGGGCGCACCCCATCGGAAAAATTCGATGCACGCCAGATCCGCGAACCCCGCTCTGTGCGCGAGCCTCTCCAGCAGCGGACCGTTCACGCTGTTTGCTACGCCGCGCACCTCTGGGCTAGCCGAGAGCATCCAACGCGCAGCCGCGCCGCTGGATACCAAATCTTCGGCCTCAAACTCTATTTGGCGCACGATGGCCTCGCGATCTGCGTTGACCTGCTCAGCTGTCCGCGCGGTGGCCCAGCTCAAAGCCTCAGACACCTCACTAGGCAAACTGCATTCCCCCTGAAAAGCAAGAGACTCGCCGACCGCCCTTGCGGCGAAATCCAATATTTCACTGTTCGCTGCGGATTGATTCGGCACCTGCACGCGACGCGCACGCGCTGCGTCGCTACTCGCGGCGCGGAACGCCCCGGCCTGGCTGAGGCGATTTGCCAGATTGCCCGCGCGGCTGCGCTTGGCCCCAGTCGCCCACGCGCGGCGCGGCGATGGCGGCCGCGGGCCCCCTCCCCTTTTTCGGGCCCCCGGCGGCCGCGGGGGAGCTGGCAGCTACCACATCGTGCGATGACTGCAGAGATAAAGCCAGGCGATGCAAGTGTCGCGCGCGCCAAGGCGCCACCGCCCGCGGGCGCGCCGACCCCCGCTTCGCCGCGGCGCTGAAACGCGCGTCGGGCGATTGCAATACAAACGCGAAATTGAAAGAGGGCGCGGCAGAGGTCATTGCGAGAGCGCACATGGGCGCCGCGCCACTCGCGGGCAGCACAGCCCACAGCCTCAGGGCCACTCGCTGCGCGCCTTCTTGGCGGACCTGGGCCGCGTGCGCGGCGCGCGGTCACCTGAGTCCCCGGCGGGCCTGGGCGGCGCGCGCGGCCTGCGGTCGCCAGAAGACCACGAGGAGCGGCCGCTCGACCACGCGCTGCGGTCTTGCCAAATCACCGCGCGACCACGAGCCGCGGCGGTCGTTCTGCGCACCTCCGCCTGTGCCGCTGTCGCTGGAACCTCTTGCCCCGCCATTGCTGCCGCCCCCTGAGCCCGCGTCGGGCTTCTCATCGCGGCCACACGCGTCCTCGGCCTGCGCGGCGCAAGGGCATCGCGAACTGCCCGCGCGCAGCGCACCCGGCCGTGCCCTTCCTGACGCAAGACCCACGAGCTGAATTTCACCGCCGCCTTTTCCGCGTTGCAATCATGCTCGCCGGCCCTCGCAGATCAGAAGCGGTTACGCATCCCTGGCGCACGCTGCGCGCTGGGCCCGGTCGTAGTAAACTGCCAGGTGAGCGCGGCGCTTGTGCGCGTGGGCATTCATGGCCACGCGCGACAGATTTTCACCAACGTCTTGCGCTTCCCCTCTTGGCCGTTGGCCTTGATGGCGTTGGCCAGATCGAGAAGATCCTGCAGCAAAAGCAACGCGTTGCGCAGGTTCGATCGCGAAACCAGCGCGCCTCGGTGAGTTTGTTCCCTGTCCTCTTCCTGGAGGACTTCCTTGAGAGCCGCGAATTCAGGAAGCCATTTCTTCAGATCCACCAGCACAAACGGCGAGGCAACGCCGACCTTCTTGAGCTTGGCCGCCTCTGCGGCCAGTTCGCCCACGCGGTGCGAACTGCGCGAGGGGCGACGCCGAAAGTGCGCCGCTCGCGCGAACATGCGCGAGCGCCTGGGCCAACATTCCGCGGGCAAACCTTCCACGCTGACATCAGACACCACGCTGGCGAACTCGAGGTGCGTCGCCTGCACGGCACCGAAATCGCCGCGCGCGCGCAAACCCAGTGGACGCGGCACCTCGTCGGGCCTCTTTCCTGAAAGCAACGCTTTAAGCACCGCCCCTGGGTCAGCGCCCCCCTGCTTCGCCGCGCCTTCCTCGGCGGCGGCGGCGAGAGCCCTCCCTGCGCACGTGGGCCTTTTGGCCAGCGCCAAGGCCTGTCTCCCCCGCAGGGAACGCGAAATCCTCGATGCGGGCATCGGCGAGCTCGCGCCAGTTTTGCACGCCAGCTGCACGCGGCGCCTCAGCAATCTTGGCGTTCCAGGCGGGACGGCGCCCTCAACCTTGCAGAGCGCTTCGGCCAACGCGGTCTTCGCGGCCTCGTCCGCCATTGCAACAATAAAGACAAGCGATGCGATATTCGCGCGCGCCCTGGCGCCGTCACCCGCGGACGCACAAAACCCTTGCTTCGCAGCGCTTCTGAACGGCGCGCCGGGTGACGCGCAAAAGCCAGTCGGGCGGGGCACGCCACGCATGGGCTGCATGGCACAGGGTTGGCCGCACGTGGGCCACTGAGCAAAGACCCCCGGGTCTGCTGGCGATGGCGAGCCACACATGGGCTGCTTTGTTAACTCTGGCCACTCATGGGCCGCCGAGCAAAGACCCCCTGGGCCTGCTGGCACACGCAAGCCACACACGGGCTGCTCTTTTCACGATTGGCCACTCATGGGCCGCCGAGCAAGGACCCCCAGGTCTGCTGGCAATGGCGAGCCACACACGGGCTGCTTTGTGGCCTGCCAAAACGCGGCACGCGGCCTCGCATGGGCAGCGCGCACGCCACGGGCCTCGCGGGGCCCTCTCCCCAGAGAGGCGAACCCACAGCGCGCGCAACCGCGCGCGCGCGGACGGGCCCCTCGAGGCCGCCCCAACGCCACCCGCATCACGGCGCGGTCGCCCAGCGCAGCGGGACAAGTTCCCGCCAGCTTCACAACATCGGCCAACAGGCCAGCGGCCGCACATGGGCGGACAACGGACAAGAGAACGCAGGAGCGCAGAAGCAGCAGCCGCACAGGCAGAGAAGCACCAGCACCCCTCCCCCACCCACGGCCCTGCACCCCGACCCCCCCCCCGCCCCGAGGACGAGGAGAAGGCGGGGGAGAAGGCAGGGAAGCGAAATTCGGCCGTCGGCGAAGCGGCCAGCATCAGCGATACCTGCACGTCGGCGCTCGCACGCTGCAGGAAGTAGCATCTCGAACGGCATATCCCCGCCGCGCCTCCTGGGCGAGGGTGCTGCTGGCGCTGTTGCGGAACGACAGCACACGGTGGGCGCGGGCATACACGCGCAGGTCGCCTTGCGCCCCGAAACGGACCACCCTCGCATTGGACGAGAGCGCCGCGGCCCGTGCGCTCCGCGGCTCCTACGGCAAAAAACCCATGTTCGGAGCACCGCCAGGCAGCCTGCGGTAATACAGTCAGTAGGCCCTGGGAATAAAGCAGCGCATGCCTTCGCTTCCACGGATCCGAAGCCATCGGGGATCGGTTTCGCCTGTCCCACGAAAGAGAGGGTTGTTATGTGATACGCGCGAGCGGTCGCGTAGGCGACAGCACCGAGCTGCCACCCCGCAGCTGCGTTCGTTCCTCATACTTCACGAGCGGAGCGTGCCACGAGGCGTCGCCCTGACCCGGTCCGAGAATGAGAACGAGATAGTTTCTTGGTGTCCGCAGCGACGCTGAGCCCCGCCCAGGCGGGCATGCTGGACCCGATCGCGCGGCGGACTGCCAGCTCGTCCAAGGGGTCGAGCGGCACCACCACCGTCTCCGGGACGTCGAGCAAGAGAACCGACACTTTGCCGAACTGCTCGACAAAGGCGTGCAGCGCGGGAATGGGCCCGAACGCCCGCGGCAACACCATCGCAAGGCCGTCGGCCCGCACCCGGAGAGCGGCCGCCGGGAAATGCCGTTGGAGACGACGCAAGTACATGTCCGAAACCGCTGCCAACAGAAGCGAACTGAGGGGCAACCTTGTCTGATGCCCCGGGGAGTACCGTATCCGCAGAATCGCGCGCCACTCAACGATAAAACGCACTGGCTGTTCCAGGACAAATTCTGACTTGCATTCCGCAGCCACCCAGGCCAGCCGAGCGCGGCAAAGAGGCGCGAAGGGGCTCTTGCTATATCGACGGGGTCGTCGCCGCGAAATCGAAGAAGAGGGCGTCGTCGATGCCTTGCACGTTCGAAATTATCGAACGCCCCGGCAAGAAACCTGCGCAGCAACTGCGCGACGCACGCGGCAAGCGCGGCATCGACAGCAAGGCGACAAGTGCTCGCCAGCACACGGTCATAGGTATTCGCTACGTTTGACAGCCGCACCTCAACTGGCTCAAAGAGGCCCCAGCCCTGCTCGGCCTGCCCCGCAGCTGTCTTTGAAGGGGGGGATCTGCAAGCTCTCCGTTGGACGACGGGCAATCTCGCGCTAGCCAGTCAATCGCATCGCCGGCGCAATGGACCTGGACGCCTCGTCGACCAAGACGTCGATGGCCAACGCCCAGAGGGGGCGGCAAGCAGACTATGGAACTCCATTCGGGAATTCCCCGACAGCGTGATCACCTGCTGGGGCGGAGACAGCTGGCGGGGCCCCCGTCGGACCGATGCGATTTTCCAAGTCCTGGCACAGCCACTCCCGAAGCACATCCACGTCAATGCCGCTGGCTTTGAACTCTGTGGCCCAGCGGCTATTCGACGCGGCCGCCATCTCCTCGAACTCGGCGGCGCGCGGGCCGTCGCTGCGAAGCGGCGCCTGCCAGGCCGATCACCCTCCTCGGCGCAAGACGACAGAGAGGACAGCTGGCCTTGCGCTTGACCTCTGCCGCTCTGGCTTGCCCCACTGCTCTCTCCGACCCCCTGGCCTCGGAGAGCCCTGCAACGCTTTGATGCCTGGCAAGCTCGACCGCGTGGTCGCGAGCGAACGGGCCGCAGCCTTCGGCCCACGCTGCCTCCGAGCTCACGCGGGTTGGACGCCAGCGCACCGACTCGACGGTAGCATTGGAGGCGGATTGCGGTCTCCCCCACGGCCTCGGCCTCGGCAGCCCTCACGAATCCCACCAGCCCTTTGGGCGTCGGCGAGCCCCCTTGATCCACGTTTGCGCTCGCCTGATTTTGGAGCGATGGGGCCCAAGGTCGCTCCTCCAGGAGGCCCCCAAGATTCCCCCTGCGCAGGGTCGCAGCAGGGCCCGCGCAGGGCCCCCCCCCCCCCCGTCGCGCAAAGACCCTGCAAAGACCCCGCAACGAGGGGGCCACGCTGTTGCTAGTTATGGGGTCGTCAACCACACTTATTTCTAATTGTTTCTAAATTGTTTTGAAAAAAAAATAATAAGAAGAAGAAGAAGAAGAAGAATATAGATATATAAAAACACCAGAAAGGGGGGGGGGTGGGGGGGAAAAAAAAAAAAAAAAAAAAAAAAAAAAAAAAAAAAACGAAGCTCAGGTCCCCCCCCCCCCCCCCCCCTTGAGTGCTCAAAGCTCGCGCCGCGTTCGGCACCCGCCCCCTCCTGTCCCCTCCTCCCCCTCCTGCCCCTCCTCCTCTTCCCCTTCACCCCCGCGCCCCCCCCCCCCCCCCCCTCGACCGCGCACCGGGCCCCTCCAGATCCGTCAAGACAAGCAACATAACACCAAGAAATCACCCCAGAAGGACGGCGGCGAGAGATGAACCAAGCGCCCCTCTCACCCAGGAAGGCGGAGACGCGGGCGGCGACCCAGCGCCCCGCAAACTTGCCGAACAGGTAGGACTTGAGAGGAGAGCGAGCGATGCCGAGAGGAGAACGACCTCGAGGCCCCGAGAAGGCGATGCCCAACTCCGCGTAGAGGAGGACCAGAAAGAAGACCGTCAGAGAACGTCCGCAAGACGTAGACAGGCGCGAAGGCATAAACATCAAAGGCGCGCCCCCTTCGCGTAGATGTTGATGGCGAGCGATGCCCCAGGACGGGAAGCATACGACAACGGCCAAGCAACGCGACCAGCCGCCAGGGCGCCCCGCGCGCCAAGACCCGGAAGCAGTGGAATGACCAGCACGACGAAGCCGTGCAAGAGCGCAGAGCGCCACTATCGCGGGCACCCCGAGCGCGGAGCGGCGGGCGGCCAGCGACGTGGCCGACGGCCGCAGCCAAGGCGCCGGCGGCGCCACAGGTCGGCTAGGGCTACGAGCAGAAGTAATGGACCTGGCGCGCGCACGGGCAGCTGCAAGGCCACCGCCGGGGGACGCTGGGCCGCGCCGAGGGCTGAGGCTGCAAGAGCTGCCAGGGGCTGCCAGGTGGCAGGGCAAGCGCGCGGGCACCCCAGGGGCGAGACCACCGAGATGGATGAATTGGACCTTGTCGCACCAGGCGCCAGAGGTCGACGCGCCACCGGCGTGGCGAAGCGCGGGGCTTCATAAACAGACCAACGTGCATGGCTACAGGCCAACGGGGGGGAACACACCTGGCCGATCAAGAAGGCTGAACCACTCTGGAGTAAACCAGCGGGCCAGAATCCAATGGGACCAGCAGCAATAGCAGACACAGCCAGGCTGTGGCGGTGAGTGGAGACCAGAGGCCAGGGAAGTGCAAGCACTCGTGCCAGAACTGGTCAAAGCGCACGCCACCTGAACGCCAGGGTGCCTCACCCGACTCCACGGGAAAAAAATGAATGCCACGGGCGAGAGGGACGGAGCGGGGTCGCAGACAGCCGACGGCTGAGGTAACCTGAGTTCAGGAGCCCGCGACAAGGCACGAGAGTCGAAGACATCACGAAGAAGGGGGGGCCAATGCCATGGAAACCGAACCAGGCCGTGGCCAGGTCCGAGCAAAGGCCAAGATGAGAACAACTACAGCCAACGGCAGAGGCTGAGAGGCACGCCGCGCCCCGCCCCAGCAGGGGCCAGCGTTCCCGGTGTCGACGGCGCCTGGGAACCTGGCCCCCAAGTGCGGGGTGGCAGAGCCAGGCGCAGTGCTGGGGCCATCACCGGTCATCACAGGGCCAGCAGCTGGGGGGGCCGCAACGAGCTGCGGCCACGTGCGGAGAAGGCCAGGGTGAACACAGCTAAAGCATACGGCAAGGCCGTGCAACGGCACGCTGCGCCTCGCCCCAACAAATGCATCGTGCCAGGTATTGACAGCGCCAGGA